CACCTGAAGCCAGCGAGGCCCGCGACCCCCCGCTGACCTCCGCCTGGTCCCCGGCGTGCGGCTGCCCCCCCCGGGCCCTTTTGGAGAGCTTGCCGTCAGTAGGTTTGCAGGTTCTTCAGACTGGGTTTTGAGGAAAAACAAGTTGAAATTTGCTACTGGTCAGCAGTTATTATTGCTTTATTTGCATTTACCATCAATTTGCAAGACGTTATTCTGAATATCCTTCCTCAGAAGTGGGCAGACCCTCGGTGGAAATAAGAAAGGAGCCGGGCGCCGTGGCTCACGCCCAGCACTTTGGGAGGCCGAGGCGAGAGGATTGCCTGAGCTCGGGGGTTCGAGACCCGCCTGGGCAACATGGCCAGACCTCGTCTCTACAATCGATCAAAAAATTAGCCGGGTGTGGTGGCACGCATCTGTGGTTCCAGCTACTTGGAAGGATGGGGAGAAGGCTCACCCGAGCCCAGCAGGTGGAGGCTGCGGTGGCCGTGAGTGTGCCCCACACTCCAGCCTGGGCAGCAGAGTGAGACTGACTCAAGAGAAAAGAAAGAAAGAAAAGAAATTAGAAAGGGTTGCAGAGGCTGATGTGACCGGGAGTCTCAAGAGTGTCCTTTCGTCTCCAGTAGGGCCATAGCTGACCCCTCAAGACAGATAAGGACCACCTAGCACGAAAAACGGTAACAGCCAGAAGCTGTCACTGTGAACGGGCCCTGGGCTGAAAGTTGCACACACTTTCATTCTCTGCACCCCTGCAGCCACCTTTCCTCTACTTTGTTCTAAATAGATGAAACTGAAAGTCATTGCGTATAAACAAAAATAAAAGCCCACTTCCTTGTCCACTAGAAGCAGCAAATACATACAGTGAACTGAGAAAGACAAGAGAAGGAAGGAAGGCAATGGAGAACTGTTTATCCAATTTGCAAGAAGGTATTCTGAACGCACTACTTAGTTCTGCATCTGGCACTATGCAGATGAAGGTGAGGCTGACCAGAAGACTACAGTCAGTAAACAAGTACAGAGTTGATGGTTATCAAAACTGGAGCTCTGGTAGGTTCACTTCCCTCCCAGGTCACACAAGGAACAATCTTGAACCAAGATGCAACCCGGGCCCTCTGGATTCTGAAGCTCATTCTCTTTCCGACATCCAAGGCCATCTCCTGCCCGTCACCATCACATCCCTACCCCAGGCAAGCTGATCACGCGGTGTCTCTTCCCAAGGGAAAGAGGAACTGCTCATCCTGCAGTTACTCTGAGAACAACGGACAGTTCTGGTTTGGTTTGGTTTGGTTTTTGAGTTAGAGTCCCACTCCATCGCCCAGGCTGGAGTGCAGTGGCATGCTCACAGCCACCGCAGCCTTGACCTGCTGGGCTCCAGCGATCCTTCTACCTCAACCTCCAAGTAGTTGGAATGACAGGTGCAGGCTACCAGCCCGGCTAATTTTTTTATTTATTGTAGAGATGAGGTCTCGCCAAGTTGCCCGAGCTGGTCTTGAACCTGTGGGCTCAGGCAATCCCCTCACCTCGGCCTCCCAAAGTGCTGGGATGACAGGCTTGAGCCACTGCACTTGGCCTGTTTTGTTCTTATTTGGGATTTTTGTTGTTTTTAGAGGGAGCATTGCTGAAGGGCAAAGGTAGAACAGTGCAGACCTTGAAACTCTAAGCAAGAAAATCAGAAATCACACCGTTTTCAGCAAACTGAAGACAATATGTCCTGGGACTGCCACCATCAGAGAAGCCACACACATCTCATGCACATCCCCTGGGACATGGTGCAGTTCTTGGAAGGCCCTGGTGCATGTTCTATGGTTTTTAGAGCACAACTCTTGGCTTTAGTTACTCCAGCTGGAAATGAAGTCTTAGGCAAGTTACCCCAACTGTGCAATGAAGTCTTAGGCAAATTACTTTAAGCTCTTAAGCCACTTTCTGTCAGATAGTGAAAAATAAGACCTTTTTTAGGGTTGTTGAATGATTCGATGAGACAACATTCTGGTTCTTTGTCATCTATACATCTCTATTAAAGGACGATATCGTTATCGGTCAAGAATCACCCAGGCAAAGTTATGCTTGGCAAAGTCCTTTCTTCCCAGGTCTTAAAAATGTTTGGGACAATCCTGATGATTGAAAACTCCTTTCAAGAGAACTCAATAGAGAAAGGGACAGTTGGGGACAGAGAAGCATGTTTATCTTTTCGTTTCTGGGCACCGGGCGTGAAGGAATGGATGTGTGTTGTGTTTATGACCAAGGACTCAGCAGACCCAGGAAAACTGTAAGCATGCCTTGTGATGTAATCGCCACAGCTGGGACCTGTACAGTTCTGTCCTCCCCAACTTCAAAGTACTTTCATATGGGGGGGGCGTTAAAAAAAAACAAAACGGTATTAGTTTTGGAGGGCAGGCCCCTTGTGGTACACTCGGAATTTGTTCCTTAGAATAATTCTCACTTAAAATGGCCAAAGTTTTTATCTGGAAGTTTTTAGAAGGTTGCATCAAGATTTGCAGAATGATTGGGAGGCTGAGGGGAGTGGATTGCCTGAGCCCGCGGGTTTAAGACCCGCCTGGGCAACTTGGCAAGACCTTGTCTCTACAATAAATCAAAAAATCAGCCGGTCGTGGTAGCGCACGCCTGTAGTTCCAGCTACTTGGAAGGCTGAGGCGGAAGGATCGCCAGAGCCCAGCGGGTCGAGGCTGCGGTGGCCGGGAGCGGCCACTGCACTCCAGTCTGGGCGACAGAGCGAGACTCCAACTCAAAAAAAAAAAGAAGAATAAATACACAGTTTTTTACAAATAAATTCCAGGTTTTTTGGGTCCCCCCTCATATGTTTTCTCAAGTATCTTCTCAGCAGCCCTCTGGAGCTGTGAAGTCAGGTATGATTATTCCATGTTGTCAAAGGTATTGCTGCAAGTGGAGAGGCAAATCAGGATCCTCCATCCCTAACCCAGAATGCTCTTCGATAAGCTTCAGTGCTAGGGTTACACATAAATGTACATCCGTGTCGGGCTCGGTGGCTCAAGCCTGTCATCCCAGCACTTTGGGAAGCCGAGGTGAGGGGATTTCCTGAGCCCGCAGGTTCGAGAACAGCTTGGGCAACTTGGCGAGACCTCGTCTCTACAAAAAATCACAAAAACTAGCCGGGCGTTGTGGCACGTATCTGTAGTTCCAGCCAGTTGAAGGCTGAGGTGGCAGGTCGACACTGGGGTGGCCATGAGTGTGCCACCGCACTCCAGCCTGGGCGATGGAGTGAGACTCCGACTCAAAAAAAAAAAATGTAAGTTCGTGTGTCTGAACAGCGTGTTCCTCCAAACCTGGTTCCTCCTCTGGTTGCCCTGATGACTGTGAGTGCCACTATTGATCCTCTTGCTCAGACTAGAAACTTGGGGTCACCTTTGATTCCTCCCTTCTCTTCTCCATCCCCCTCCATCAGCAACTCTGCTGGCTTCTTCTGATTTCGACTTCTGGCCCCTTCCCTCTGCTCAGTTGCACCTTCACTAAAGCCGCCATCCACCTCCGCCTCTGGCCCTCCTCACCAGCCTCTCTGCGTCTGCTCTTGATCCTGATATCTTGCCTGGATGCAGTGACGTCCAGCGGAGGCCACAAAACGTGGGGTACTTCCTTGCTGAAGCTCATCTGTTTCTTCACATCACACCGGGAACAAGAAATCAAGCCTCTTCCGTGTCTTACAAGACCCTGTGTCACCTGGACCCTGCACCATCATGCACTACCGTATTT